GACATCCACTAACAGACATCCACTAACAGACATCCACACATCCACACACAGACATCCACACATCCACAAACAGACATCCACATCCACACATCCACAAACAGACATACAGACATCCACAAACAGACATCTACACACAGACATCCACAAACAGACATACACACATCCACACACAGACATCCACAAACAGACATCCACACACAGACATCCACATCCACACATCCACACACAGACATCCACACACAGACATCCACATCCACACATCCACAAACAGACATCCACATATACAAATTAATAATATTATTAAAAAATTAACATATCCCACCCACCCAGCATCCCTACCTTTCCCTGGGGTCCAGTGGGGCTGCAGTGAGGACGGCTCTCTCCCTGTCACACGCGGAGAGGGAGCTGTGTGCTCTCTGCTCCCTCTCGCCGCGCGGGATGTCTGCTGATGCCGGAAGCCGGAATATGACGTCATCAACCCGGCTCCCAGCAACAGCAGACATCCCGCGCGGCGAGAGGGAGCAGAGAGCACACAGCTCCCTCTCCGCGTGTAACAGGAAGAGAGCCGTTCACCGAGGGGCAATCCATCAGGTTGCCCCCCCCCCCATGACAGGGGAAACAAGGGGGGGCATTTGGGGGCGGCATTTTTTGCCGCCCCCTGAGTGCCTGCAGGGGGAACGGCGTTCCTGCTGTGAAAAAAGTGCAGGAACGCCGTTCCCACGCGTTCCTGCAGGACTCGAGCCCTGGCCTTCTCCCATACTCTATGTCCACCTGGATCTGGAGGTGGGGTCAGCCTTTTCACATCTCCCTTCTCATTTCCTGCAGTCTAACCCCTCTCTTTAATTCTCATCCTTTGAAATACACATCAAATACACATGGAGAAATAGAAAAAATAAAGAGAGCTCTTTCAGAAAACTTTGAGTACAACTTAGAGTTGGTATGATTCATATGCTTCTGCTTCTGCTGACACTCAAAGTGTGATGCCCTCAGACACATATAGCATACACAGGAAATTGAATGAATAAGAGTGGAGCAGTATATCAAGAAAGTGGCTGTTTAGGTGATAAGCCCAATATAAAATGTAAATTGTGAGGAAACCAAGGCAAGTTGAAATAATACTTAAAGGGACACTATAGTCACCTGAACAACTTTAGCTTAATGAAGCAGTTTTGGTGTATAGAACATGTCCCTGCAGCCTCACTGCTCAATCTTCTGCCAATTAGGAGTTAAATCCCTTTGTTTATGAACCCTAGTCACACCTCCCTACATGTGACTTGCACAGCCTTCCATAAACACTTCCTGTAAAGAGAGCCCTATTTAGGCTTTCTTTATTGCAAGTTCTGTTTAATTAAGATTTTCTTATCCCCTGCTATGTTAATAGCTTGCTAGACCCTGCAAGAGCCCCCTGTTGCCCCCAGATGATTTACCTAGAATCAAGGAAATTATGTTGGGCCAAATCTTAATTCAGCCACCTCGATCCTTATCCCCGGTACTGGAAATCTGATACTATCCCCTCTATATATGAGGTGTTGCTTAATATTTTGGAAATTAAGAGATGCCTTTAGACCACCTTCCCAGATGGTTAATACTTTAAGATAAGAATGAGAACTCTGGGAACGGGACATCAGAAATCGTTATAATTTGCAACATTTACCTTCACCTCACCAGACAACATTAAAAGTAGTCATATGCTCTTATCTTAAGCACCACGTTAAGCGCAATAGGTTTAACAATTCATTCTTTTTTCTTAGGCATGCTGAGTACACTTTTTGAAATGGACATTTCTTATTTGTAACTTATATCACATAATACGTGTCAATTATTTTCACCTGTTATTTATTTTCTTTGTTTACATTCTTATTGTTAACATTGTATAATTTTCATTATTGTTATTGACTTTTTTTTCATTATTAATAAAAAAAAACATTTGAAAAGAAATACACATTTATCCTCTATCCTGTTACCATTTTATTGTATACTCTCAGCCGGGCAACTTTTTGGATGAATGGCTGTTTCATACATGCCATCCCCCCTCTTAAAACTTAACCCCTTAAGGACAGAGCTTCAAAAGCTTGTCTTTCACTTAATGACAACAGCATTTTTTTCATTTTTTGCTGTTTGCGTTCAACTGCATCGTTTTTTAAAGGACAGAAAGGGCTTTAATTTGATGTAACACACATATATATATATAAATGCTTATTGATTATAAAAAAAATACAGAAAAATGTAAATAAAATGAAAATGTTGTGTTTTTTTTTTACAGTTTTTGCAATAATAATGTGTGCATAATTAGTGCAGGTTAAGAAAAGTAATTAAAAATAAATTAATTTAGTTGTTCTGATTTACAGAATATGTAATGTGTCTGGGATTTTAAGGTTTTTTTGGTAGTTACAGGTCACAAAGCACAAAGGAGTAAAATAGACTTTTAATGTGGAGAGATCTTAGAATTTGGTATGTTTGTCTTGTAAGCTTAATAGCCATAAAAGAAAACAAAACTGCCACACAAAAGTATATATTTATATAAAGTAGACATCACGGGCTATTTACCTAAGGTTGTTTTGACACTTTCTACGTAGCCATTTCACCGCCAACCTCTGCTAAATATTGGAGTAAAATTGTGTTTTTTTTTGGTTTTTGGCACACAAACTTATAACAAAGAAATTCTCATGTATATTTTGTAAAGTTGGTGTGTGCTATTCCTGTACAAAGTTTTATTTTGTGTTCAGTTACATCTGCTGAGTAAAATGACACCCCCATTGTATGTCTTTTGCACTATTTCGTGAAGTTACAGTGCCATACAGGATACCTGTCCTTTTCAGTATTCACAGTAGAATTTTGAGAGATGAATTTAATGAGCCTTAGCTTCCATTTGGGGTATTATAACAGTTTGACTGTTCAAAAAAAAACCACAAAGGCCTACCATTTGTAAAAGTAGACACTCCAGGGTATCTTATAAGGTGCATATTGTGCCTTAACATGCCCCCATTTTTTCACCAATATATGCCAAAGTATGTGGTAAAAAATAATTTTGTGCATTTTTTACATACGGATTGCATTTTTGCTGGGCGTTTTGTATTTCATATGTGCCACTAAGTTCAGACCTCCCACATTATACTCAGCTAAGTCTTCTGAGTAAAAAGACACCCCCAATGAATGTCTTTGGCACTATTTCGTGAAGCTACAGTGCCATATAGGAGACCAAGCCGTATCCGTTTTTACCGAACTTTGAATTTTGACGCTGGGCCTATGTGCAATTTCCAAGCATCTTCGCAGGTTTTAAATTCAAACTACCCCACAAAGGCCTACCATTTCTTAAAGTAGACACCCCAGGGTGTTTCAAAAGGTATATTTTGAACCTTAGCGTGGGATCATTTTTCCGCTAGCTTGTACCAGATGTAGTGGTAATAAGCGTTTTTTCTGCCTTTTTGACATACAAGTGAGTTTGCACAGTATATTTTGCAAACCTTATGTGTGCTACGACTGTATAATACTTCATATGTTGCTCAGCTATGTCGGCTGAGTACAGCAATACCCCCGTATGTACCTTTGCCAGGTATGTGTGGACATCGGAGGGGCACATTTGGGACACAGCCATTCCAGTTTTTTTCAAACTTTGAATTTTTATGCTGTGCCTATGTCCCATTTTAGAGTATTTTACCAGGCTATATAATCCAAATACCCCATAAAGCCATACCATTTCTTAAAGAAGACATCCCAGGGTATTTCAAAAGGCATATTTTGAACCTTAGCGTGGGATCATTTTTCCGCTAGCTTGTACCAAGTGTAGTGGTAATAAGCATTTTTTCTGCCTTTTTGACATACAGCAATACCCCCGTATGTACCTTTGCCAGGTTTGCCAGGTATATGTGGATGTTGAAGGGGCGCATTTGAGACGCAGCCATTCAGTTTTTTTCTAACTTTGAAGTTTTACGCTGTGTCCATATTCCAGTTTGGAGTAGTTTAGACGGTTGGGTATTAAAACTTCCCCACAAACACATACTATTTATTAAAGAATACACCCTGGGGTAATTCAAAAGGCATATTTTGAACCTTGGCGTGGGATAATTTTTTCTCTAGTTTGTTCCGGGTGTAGTGGTAATGAGCGTTTTTAAAATGTATTTTTTTACTTTTTTAAACTTTTTTACTTTTAAAAACTAGTTTTGAAACTTTTGTTTTGCTTATTAATTTTTTTTAAACTTTCCTAAACTTTCTTAAAACTTTTTTACAGATTTAACATTTTTCTAAGCTTTTTTTTTTACCGTTAACCCCTAACTAGCAGTAAGCAGCACTAACCGTAAATTCCCCATTTTACCATAACTCCCACCCACCCCAGCTAGCAAAATATATAGTTATAAAATATTTAAATTAATTAATTAAATAAATTGAACCCCATAGGGTTAAAAAATAAATAAAAGTTAATCCTTAAGGGTTAAAAAAAATTAGATCACAGTATAATACTGTGATCTGTATTTGATCGCTGTAGGCAGTGATCGACTGGCAGGGAAGGGGTTAATTTTTATTTGGACTAGGTAAAGGGGGGTGTTTTTTGTATTTTTTACTTAAACGTTATTAAAACTTTTTTTAAGCTTAATTTTTAACTTTTTAAAGTTTATTTTAAAACTTTTAACGTTAACCCCTAGTTAGCCTAACGCCAAATCCCCCAATTCCCCACTAACTTCCACCCACCCCAGCTAGCTAAATATATAATTTTAAAATATTTTAATTAATTAATTAAATAAATTTAACCCCTGAGGGTTAAAAAAAAAGAATTAACCCTCAGGAGTTAAAAAAAAATCAGATCATAGTAAAATGTAATCCCTGCCAAATTGATCACTGTAGTCAGTGATCAATTGGCAGTGAAGGGGTTAATTTTCCTATTAAAATGGGTAAAGGGGGGAGTGGGACTTTAAATTAACTTTATTTTTTTACAGCAGGGGGCAGGATCAGCACTGTTCCAGCTCCCTGCACTTCACACAGAACCAGGAAGTGCAGGGAGCCGG